AGAAAATTGATCTATAGACTTTGAGAGCTTGGAAGCTCTGCAAATAAGAGGAAGGCAAAGGACCAATTAGTTGAATTGTTCAAAAAAAATTGGAAAAGGAATTAGAGCAAATATGGAGGATTCTAAAATTTTGAAAGGTTATTTCAATTTTAAAGGGTTTTTTTTTTTTTGGTTTTAAAGAGAGAGAGAGAAATGGGATGGTGAATAAGGAGAAAGTAGAATCAAAAAGGGTGGTTTTGGTCTGCTTTTCAGAGATAAGAAATTACATCATGAATGCTGATGGGAAAGATCCAAAACAGAGAAAAACTAATGTAACAAGAGAGAGGGAAAGAACTGGTGAGGAGGTGTCTCCAGGTAGGCCCCAAATAGCAAGAGGGGTCTAAGTGTGCTCAGGAGTTGACTTTTGCTGGAATTGGGGTCAGTTTCTCTCTGGACACAGCTGGGAGGGCAGAGCAGCAGTTCAGACACTCAGGCTGATGGTTGTACATGAACCTCTGGTCAGCAGCTGAGGGTGAGGAAGGTGGGGAAGATGGGGGGCACTTCTAAGGTATAGCACGTGCTCAGGGCACCACTTGAAAGGAGGATGCCACTAAGCAGTTTCAATTAACCATCACAATTTCTGTCACCAGCTAAGAGAGCCCATCCATCCAGCAAGTTAAAGCTAATACTATCATAGAGAAAAAAAAAACCCCTAATTTGTTATTGGTGTTTACTCAAACATTTACCATACATTTTATTTCAGAATACTAATTACAGTTGTACAGTAGGATTATTTACATCTTTTCAAGTCCTAACTCCCTTTCCTGCCCTCCCTTCCCTGTCATCCTTTATGGTTGTTTCTGTGTGTAAGCTCTCCTTAGTCTTCACACCCCACAGTAATGCATGCTCTATTCCAGACTGTTAATTGCAAGAAAAGAAGCTATTAGGGGGGAAAAAAGACTTTGAACACATCATAAACCAATTTTCATCAGGAAAGTGCAATTGAAATTTTCATGTGTGCCATAATGTATTCAGTACATTAACAAATATGACTTGTAATTTTGAACTGCTATAATGATAATGGAAAAAATAAATGTCAGATTATTTGGATAGATACACAACTTCAGTGTTTGCTATACATGCTGTTCTCCATAGCTATGTCTCTGAGGAGATGTTATCAGTAGAGGGAGATTATGAAATAGTTATTTGGGAAGAAGAGAGTGTGAAGGGTCTGGTGCTGAGTCTCATTGTCAGGCAGCTTGAAGAGCCCATTATCGTCAGTGTGACCTTAAACTTGAAGTGAGACCTGTCGGTAAACTATATTTTCTTCCACCTAGCGCAGTCGCCCGTGTGCAGGCAGGAATTTGCAGAGAGTTGCATTTAATCGGGATTCTGGTTTAACCAAGGAAATGTACAGGGGTTAAGGCAATCCAGAATGTAGGCTGTTCAAATCCACCAGCCACTCAGCAAAGGAAGGACGAGGCAGTCTGCATATACAAAAATGTACAGCTTCGGAGACCCTGAGGGACAGTTCTGCTGTGCCCTGCAGGATTGCTCTAAGTTAGAATGGAGTTAGTGGCAATGAGTTTGATTTGGCCCGGCTATCTCATCAGGTGTGCTTGCTGAAGAGAAGGACAAGGAAGTTGTGACTGCATGTAAGGGATTGATAATAGGGCTGGACTGTGGAATTAAGACTGAGTAGAGGAAAGTCAGAGCAAGAGCAAGTGAGGGACTGTGAGCGAGGTGTCAACAAATTGTGGTTGAAGTTTGAGTTCCAGAGAAAATAAGCTGGAAAGACAAGAGGTGGTGATGAGAGTGTGGGTTATGTGTCCTTGGAGACACAGAGAGATTGCAGTCACATGTAATGGCAAGCTTGAACATATGAGTGAAAAAAAGGGGAAATGGCATCATTAGAGAAGGAAAAGGCAAAGAGCTGAAAGACCAG